TGCCCCCCCCCCCGTAACAGCAACCGACAAGTCACAACCCATTGTTCCGTGCCCCTCATTTTATACATCCAAGTTTTTGCTGGAACATGGTCTCTGTGATGTGGTGCCTCGAGGTAAAAGAATCTCATTATGAGCTACAGAAGCCTCTTCTTGTAATGGGGTCCAGTATTAGACCCCTCGAGGGTAATTATTTTGATCACGTGGAAAGAGAGTGACGTGATTCTATTCAAAACGTTATGAAATAGGCGTCGTCGTTCACATACGCAGGAGCGTCGCCACGACAGCGGATTTTCTTTGATTTTGCACACGAATGTCGCTCAACAAGGCGACTGATTATTCATTTGCAGTCTGTAAATAAGACGCCATGGTTTAACAACGTTATATCAACTGCGATTTTCTTGTGTGAATGTGACAGAACCTTGAAGGAGGTGTATATTGAACAACGTGATTCTACATTACGTATCTGGACGCAGCCCCTTAAGTGAGTGGATTTCAGAACAAGAAAAAGAAGGAAAAATTCGAGTGATGCACTGAATCTCCTGCCATTCTTCGTTTAATGAAACTCAGTTCCCGAATGATCTCCGTCTTTCTGACTTTCATCGAATTCCTGGTCCAGCTTACCTGTCAGATTGACGTCTTTAATTATTTTTAAAACAGGTCTCGATATAAATTTACATTTCATTAAAGTATTCTAAAAAAGAAGATTTAGAAAAACGTTGATTTAATGACCAAGATGAAACAAATTTAACGTAGTCTAACGTATTTATCTGCTTTTCCAACCATTCAACTCACGATACAAAATGGAGCGGAGCGTCTCTCGTTGAGAGCTGCCCCTCTGACATCAGGAATGTTTCATAACTTCAAGTAACGTTCAGCAAAAAGCTGTTCTGGGTTACTTCATCACACACGCGACTACTGAACCTTCCGCATTACAGCGCCAATTTGACATATTACGAATGAAAACTGAGAAATCGTTTGTGGTATCTCGGCTGCAACAACGTTTAGAACGAACCTACTACCTCCATATTCAAGGTAAATAAAGGTAGCGTATCTTATCAAACTTTCATGACCACTTAATTCTAATATGGCGTTTCAATTCTGAACATCGGTATGACATAAATCGTTATTTGAACTACGAAATTATGAGGTACTTCGGAACGGATCACGAAAAACATTAAAAATAATTCGAGGTACTTTTCGGTAGTTCACTCACATTTCAATCTGACTCAGAGAAGTGGATGCTTCAACGACAACCAACGGTACTAATCCTCGGCGGAACATGAAAGCGGGGCATACAATGGCCTGTTTCAGACGCCATTTGTAAGGCCATTATCAGGCGACCACGCCAATGCGCTTATGTGTGGTTTTCCTTTGTGTTCCTTTACAAGTTTGTTGTGCAATTACGTGATTGGTTATGGGATGGCGAACACCTATGACATAACAGACCGAAGTGTTGCACTACAAAATAAAGATGTTGTAAACGCGCTATTAACAGGACTGTTGACTCTTGAGAGATTTGAAGTTTAACATCACGCGAGTTTCAATAACACTGGCAAACTGTCTTCGCTGAGTGTCGTCTTTAATGAAAGTGAAATAGTCACTGGGCCGAACCACTGTGGAATCCCAAGTTCCGTTGCCGTGTTCATGTAACTATTTAAGTTATTTGCTCAACATGTTTGAACACTGTCGTTAAAGGTAAACAGCACTAACAAAACAAAGTTCTGAGTGTCGGGAACTGGGAAAATGAGGATTAAGTGGTCCTTAGGACACATCGTATTTTAATGTGGGAAAATGGACAATATTTTGATGACAGAGAATGTCGAAATATATAATTACAAGGCAAGATAAGTTAAGGATGTTTACTGGTAAGACGGTAAGAGAAAGTGAATTGACGTTAATGGAAAATTTGCGGTTTCTCAAAATTAAGTGGGATACGCCTACTTCGGAAGGAAATAGAACATTAATAGGACAATAAGAAATTTAAAATGACTGAAATTGCAATTTAAACCAAAATCGAACGTGTCTGTGAGCTAACATGTGTTGCTGTTAGTAAAATTTAGGGAAGACAATTTTGTACCCGATTCAATAGTCTAATAAATATTTCGTTAAACACTCCACGAGAGAGTTAAATTAGTACAGTCCGAATTTAAAATTGTAGTCTCAGATATAATCAAAGCCTTCAAGCTGCTTTACCAAAAGTGGAAAACAACATTTCTAAATTGTGTGAAATATCGTAAGGCTATTACCGATGTTGTAATGAAATTCATCAACGAAACTTTAGTCGACAGAGAACAGTAAAAGTGAAAAATATTTATGATGTAATGCAGTATAACAGGAATTTCTTGGAAAGAGGGATAATTTTAAATGTGCTCGGAAAACAAACCCTCAAACCAACATGCTGGCTGCATAATTTTGAAGTTTTTCCTATCCGGCCTAAACTGAACGATGGTAACGTAAACTTGAAAAATATTTTGAAAATAAACATGCAGAAGGACGAATGAAAACAATTTTCGTAAGTTACAGCAGTGGACAGAAACAGTGGCCATCTTGATCAAACAATGACACACTAAGGCAACGCCTATAACAAAATGCAATTTCAATTAATGAGCGTAGTTACGTGTAATGAATCAGAGTTTGGGAATGGAATATGAAGTATATTCTGTGACGGAAAGGGTCGATGAATGTCACGTGGTGGCACCACACTGAGTAATGCGACTCGAAAGTATGGACTGATGTTAATTGCTGTATAAATACATTTCAAAAATTCAATTACACCATTAAATAAACCGATATTCTCTCGTGCCACGGATCAACACACTGGAAAGTAACGCATTTATTTTTTGAGATTCCATGCATAAAACATAGCTCTGAATGTATTTTCTAATGTCTACTTTCAGAAGCTTCAAATCGACGTTTTCCGTTTTCACATCCTAAATCACTAAAAATACACATCGACTTGATTGTCTTTCGTTGCAAATGAGCAAAGATCTTGGTTGGAAAGCCTGTCCACTTGAAAGACATTAGCGTAAATATGAGGATAATATCAAGATGGATCTTTGTGAAATTGGGTTTGGTCTCGTGGAGTGGATTCATCTGGCTCAAAACAGTGACTGGTAGCGGGTTCTTGTAAAGACGGCAATGAAACTTCCCGTTGTTTGGACAAACCAAGAGAATTATTTCGTTCCCAGGAAGAACTCTGATTAGCGGAGTTGGGAAAAATTTGGTGGCAAAGAGAACTTCTATAAACAGATTACGTTAAAGATTAAGCCCTGTGTTATCAAACCCCAGCGCATTATTTTTATTAAAACAAAATAATAATGGATATTATTATTATTATTCACAAACAAATATAATTAAAATTCTGTTTCCCGCTGAATCACTCCTTTGTTAAAATCTCTCTGAGCATAATTCTGCGACCACACTGGAAATGGAATGTAATTTATGAGAGACGTTTTCACTGGTGTATGAAATACACGTAGATATCAAAACGCTGCCAAAGCAATGTTACAACTCCGTACAACTACTTTTCCGAAAATTCTTCTCATCAACAGGTTTCTTTATCCCATGCAAGTTATACTTAATGAGATGCGCATTCCACAGTTGTACCAACTTTCTCTCCTACAAATTAAATGCATTAAAAGTTCATACATGCAATCCATTCAGACCTTCGGTCGATGCAACCACTTTCCGCTGAAACACGAGTGCAATTACATTCTAAATGGACGGAACTTGAAATCAGCTGTCCTGGCGAGGCAGAAATCTTGGAAGGAAAACCATTCTGTCTTTCGTTGAAGTAGGCAGAGAGAAGCCGTTCTACGGAGGTGGGGACAGAAGGAGAAGAGACAAACGACCACAAAAGAAAGCCCTCGGGTGCAGACTGCAAACTCTCGTCGTCTCTACACTGACGAGATATTTTCTGCCTCGAACCTACAGATCGCCCTGATGATGGAGGCAGCAAGGACCTCTAAAACGTTGGAAAAACTTCTACCAGACTACGCGGCGCTACAACCCACCAGACAGCCATCATCTGACACAGCCGCCGCGGAAACTCTAATCGTACTTATTTAATGATTCCTGACACGCAAATTTATTAAACTCCACACCTACCGTTTAACTTGTCGGCCTGTCGTGGGCACTTCTTATGGCTTCGGATATCAAGATATTAAGCTGTTACTTTTACCATGGAGCTTCCAAATGATGTACGATATTTCGCGAGAGAAATCTGGCAGCTTACGCTGCAAATGAGCTGATGAGTCAGTAGGTCCCTACCTGGAAGAAGACCTGGTTGTCGCGAACCCATCCGGTGACAATGTCGGCTCCTGGCATCTGTCCATCCGCTGAGAAGCCGAACCCGACATATCCCAGGGTCCGCACTTGAACCTCGAACGTGATGGCCTCTTCACCGGGAGTCCAGAACACTGAGTAGTTCGGATCCAGATCTGTGGAGTGGGTCCAGTGAGCGCCGGCCACGTGTCCCAGCCCCACGGCCAGTGTGAGCAGAACGGCCAAGGTCCACGCCATGGCGCCTTCAGCTCTCGACACGGAGCACCTCCGAAATCCCTGGCCGCATTCTCTATTGCACCACAGAGCAACCTGAAACACGTTCACTTGCTCTGACTGGAATGCGAAAGATTGTACATCCAACACAATTGAGACAAGACGACAGAGCACTGTCAATTGTCAACATTTGCAAAATCCAAATGCCCATGGAAGAATGCCACTCGGAATAACTGAATTGTTACGAATTCTCTTTTACAGGCTTCGAGCCAAGGTTCTAGGTGCAGCTCGACACAGCACAAGCTCGGTTTGTCAGTGAGGCTGCCAAATTGGATTCTCGTGTTCCGTTCTACGCTTAAGTTTGTTGCTTCCGAGGCCGCGTAAGCAAACTAAGTTGTTTTTCGTCGAATGCGAATAAAAAAGATGGTTATGAATTGTACTTGGGAAGGGGAAACTGTAGCGGCCCCGATCAATGTAGGCTACAGACCTGACATCTGCCTGAAGAGACAGGAGAATGACAAATAATTTCCTCGGCTTAGTTTGATTATCTCTGGCCCCAGCTGCGTGTCACGTCCTCTTCAGGACCAAGATCTGTAGCCCTGGGAGGAATGCGGAAACCCCGACGCCCGTGGTGCCTGAGAGAAGGAAGTGAGTCTACTATTCAGAACGAAAATGTTGACAAGAGTTCGCCTTAGCACCGCTCATGTTCAATTCCTTCAGTATTTGTCAGGAACTGGCGAACAGAAATATAATTTACGCAGAACACGCCCTGTCCACGCCACAGAGCACGTGCTTCTGACCACAGAGGATGTTTTCTGCGTGGGTATTAGTTGTGTACATCGAATAAGCTGTGGTCTCCTGATTGGCTCTGTCGGGTTATTTTATACCACCCCCTCTCTCCCCTCACCACAACCCGCAGTGCTAATGAGCTCGGACCCAAACTGAATATTTAGTTGAGAACTTGAGAAGAGTTATAAAGAACGTGCTCCTTGCCAACTATCACTATATATTACTACTTTAGTTACTCATATAAGAGAAAAAATATACCCCCATCGTAGTTCGTCACTGTACACAGCAATAATTCATATAAATTTAACATACAATTTTAACTTTAATACAGTTTTATACATATTTTAAGAATTACTAGTATAAATACAGATAAATGTTACACAAGACATATTATGTTAAAGTAGGTCTGAAGATGTCATGTAAAATCCCGAAACATATAACATGAAACAAAAGATTTCGAAATACACGTTGTGTTTGACGGGATAATTAAGCAGGCGCTCCACAGCTTGAGAACGCGCCCAAAGAATGCGACATCCCACAAGTCTGAATAATCCACTTACAACATTTAAAAAATTTCCCCGTGAAACCGTCTTATTGTTTCCACTGATGCTCGTGCGCCCGAATTGTTCCTTCGCCGAATTTAAACTGCACGGAAGTGCTCCCAAGAAGAATATGTTCGGTGGAACACAATGAAAGTAGACGCAGAACGAGACCAATCCCAAGAGACCTGGCTGCTGCTGGAAAACGTAAAATGTCGTGCCTTGAGATCAGAATTTAGTGCCTTTAATTACTTGCAATGTGGACTTTGTAATTCTTCACTTGTAAGACATTTATCTTTTGCCAAGATTATGTTCTTCCTTGGGGCAATTCACTCTCTACTACCTTTCCTTACCAAGTTGTAATCTGTGTCAGGTCAACCCTTCTGCCGATCCATTTAATTCCGCGTGTGAGTTCTGGAATTGATAAGAGAGAAGGCGCACAAATTGTATTGAAAGTCGGTATCGAAGAGACCACGTATTACGCGACTCCTGAAAGAAACTAATTCAGAAAATTGGCTAAATGAAATCCGAAAATTAGGATATTCAAAACATAATTCAAAATATCCTCATCCGACCTCCTAAGTCATTTTTACTATACAACAAACACTTCCGAATGTAGCCACACTTACGTAACGATTTTCCACAAAATGTTTACTAAAATGCACAAATGTTTCCAAAGTTTCGCAGCCCGCGTGGACTTGTTCCGGTCTTGTCTTGAAGCGTTTCGTCGTTCCGAGGGTTCAAGACTCTTCCTTTAAGGACCCGCCCGGTCTGCCCTTGTAGTAAACAGTAGTAAAAAAGTCTGCTTTACTTTGCTTCTGGGTTTGCCGGTCGACAAGCCTCCGAGACGAGACCCAGCATCCAACTAGCAAGATACGAGTACAGGCCGACAGATACATCTTATCAGCAGCTGCTACGTCATAAATACTAGGCTTTCCGCCCTTCTGTTGACAACGCTAAAGCACTCGTGAATCTAGACTTTGCTCCAACATCAACCCAAGATGACAAAGCTTGAATTCCAAAAACTCAACACGGCAATATTTTTGGACAATGTGTAGCTTACGTATTTACTGAACTTCCATCTCTCTTCACTAAAGCAGACAACACACAGACACACCCCACACACACACAGTCGCTCAGATGATGAATAAATTTCCTCCACCAGAGGTTTCACAGATATTTGCTGCCTCCATCATCAGGACGATTATGACGGCGACAGCAAGACTTTCTGATACGTCGGTAAACGTCCACCAGACTTTACGGAGCTATCCAGAAGACAGCCATCTTCGAAAATACAGCGTAAACTAAGTTCAAATAAAACAGATGGGAACCGTAACGATTAAAGTTAACTCGCCACACAAAAAATGGCGAGTTGGGGTGGGGCAGAGTCGCGAGCATTAACAGCTCCGACGTACACACGTAATCTCTGTCCCAGCTCAAGTGCGGTTGACTCCACAGCCATTCTGGACTTCATATGAGGGTACCCTGGCAAATACACGAGGTAATGCGGGCTTGCGGTGTTTACATCATGTCTTGGTTGCAGGAACATCTCGTGCTAGGGAGGTGTACTTTTAGAACAAGTAGGACCATTATTTTGTACGTCGCCGTAAGCCACAATGTACGTACATTTCCTGGCGGATCAGTGTTCTTACTGCGCATGCCCGTACAACGTCGGTGTAGCAAATGTTGCTGGAATTAGGCGTTCGTCAATTTCACTACAAAGCCAATGAAACCGCCTGCAAGTGTGTGTTTTTTTATATATTGTAGCCTAGTGAAGATGGCAGTCGTTAGTAGCATCGAAATATAAGAAATTTCAGTCGCAATACAAATATTCGTATAAGCAGTTTCTAATGTTGGGTACAAATATAATACGATTCGACTCCTACATGCAATATATTAGTAAGCAAAGCCACGAACCATAAAGTACTTTGTTCTGTTCATAAAAATTGGTCAGTGGCTCACATTCCGAGTCTGTCAAATCCAGTCTTCACCAACACATTATATTTCTTTAAGATCTGTTTTAATATTATCCACTTATCTATGCCTAGGAGTCTCTAGGCCCCGTTTCCGGCGAACCTTAATATTAAGTTTTCATCTGATCTGTACGTGCAAATTGCTCGTTTATCTCAGCCTCCTTCATTTGATAATCCTAATGACATTAATAACGAGTTTAATTCTGAAACATTTTATAAAGCAATTTTATCCACTTATTTACTTACTGATGTCCACCGTCAATAAAGGAATGCATTGCATCCGTACGTCCATATGCCTGTGTCCTCATGTCTCTCCTCACATCCGAAATTAACTGGGTTTTTCTCGGTAGGACAGGAAGATGAGCTTCATTTTTGCAGATAAATTTATCCTGGCTCTATCTCCGGGTATAACCGGCGACCACAGATCGAACGGTGTGAGTCACCCGTACTCAGTCCTTGGTACTCCATGGTGTGACTTGCTTCGTAACCAGTTTCTCGTAAGAAGCGTTTCTGCTAGACGGAATATTAGTTTCGCCCCCTTCGAAGCTCAAACAACGTCATGGCGGCCAGTCGGAGTAAAATGTCACAGGATCTGTAGTTTATATCTGAGGTCATTTCCTGTTAAACGTTTCTCAACTCCAAGTCAGATTCTCAACGGTTATGAAACTATTTATGTTTGAAATTCACGCGTGCACACACGTGACCGCGGACTGAACACAGAGCTAATACCAGAACCTAACAAGGCGCAGGTGATTCTAGGGCGTCGTGGCGTTCAGAATGGCTTTTACGTTCTCAAATGCCGGCTTTCCCGGAATGGCGTACATTTACGTATTTGCGACGGAAATACTAGGGCTACTCTCGCTGAATAGCAACGAAGTTTTCCGGATCGTTAAGTGTTTAGCGACGTTCTTGCTGTGATTGCGAGAGGGCGCTTCATTTCCGGCTGCAACAAAATGTCGCTGAACAAGTAAGCAGCATTCAGATTGCACAGGGGTGTCCTGTTGTTAGCAGGCCAAGTAAAAGATGAATAACTGGCGACTTTACATTTTCGTGTACCTGGTCCTTACATTTGACTTCGGTTTGCATCGATCAGGACGAGAGATCTCGCTGTTTCAATGTTTACGAGACCCTACCTGGTCCTTACATTTGACTTCGGTTCGCATCGATCAGGACGAGAGATCGCGCTGTTTCATTGTTTACGAGACCCGCAATTCTTGTAAGCCAGGAGTAAGTAACGCCTGTGTTAAGTAGGTGCCGCATTCGGCCTGTGCGATGTGTCTAGAGCTGACATACTTTCCAAAGCCTACGTCGGTCGGCTCGTCAGCACTGGACGTGTCAGATAATATTTGCCAGATCGCTTACTCAGTGAGCTTGCTTAAGTGCAGTTCCAGTGGACACGAGCGCGCTCGCCGAACAAACACGGAGCTAAAAGCTTTTCGTATTTCTTATTTCTTCACATAATGTCTTGTTATTTCCTAAGGACTTTAAAACTCGCGTCCCCTCTCACCACCCCGACATCTTTAGAAGGCGCAGCACGTTGAAGCAAGTTCATAGATTCTTCCACCCGAAACTTTCTCTCAGCTATTCACGTGACAGAAGCCAAATTGCTGCATAGTTAGACGCAGCACTAATCAACTGATAAAGCCGGTTTTTAAAGTGTAAAGACGTGTTATTTTCTTATAACAGAATTAAACTTGAAAAATAGAAATATTCTCGTAATCAGTCGGGGGTGAAGTCTAGGCCAAGCATTGCTCACTACGCTCGGGTTACATCATCGGCAAAACGCATGTTTCCC